AGTCAGTTGCAATTTAGATCACATTTGATTTTCCCATTCCCAGATGACTTTCCTTTCTCTTCTCCTTGACTGTCCTAAAGCCAGGAGTAAACCTTCTCTGTTGATCAAAATCCTGCTCTTGCCTTTAGCTTTGGTATGAATTAGGGTTTAATATTGACCTGTTACAGATACCAGCAAATCTTTCTTACTCTGCTATGTTTTGTACAAGTAACTAGCTCCAAGTAGGTCATTCCCAGCTCCATTCTGAAACATGGCGTCAGTACAGCATCACTCAGAAACTGGAAGTTTTATTTTGTTATTTTTTAGTAAGGATGTTAGATTGTGCCTATAATCAATGTGGACAATGCCTCCTTCCAGATTCCTATACTACGGTTCACAGAACTTGTTTTACAGGATACTCTACAAAATATATTTGATGTGTCTAGATATTTTTGGCATTAGTAAGAAAGAATTAATCAATTCCATTTTAGCTTTTACACTTTTAATATGCAACACAAAAATGTACAAAAATACTTTCAAAAGAAAACTATCTGAAACTGTATTATTTGTAGAGTGTCCATGTATGCCTCTGCATACAGAATAATTACAGCTCAGTATATGTGCCTTTGTATATGCCTTCCTCTCCAAGCCAGAAAGCAAGCTTCCTGAGAAATAATTAAGGTTAATAGCCTGCAATTCCAGCACAGGGATAAAAATACCAGGAAATTACTTGGTAAGTTTTCCCCTAACTGTTGTCAAGTACATTGACATTTTTTCTTACTATACACGCTGCTGCTCTCTCCACTACCTTGGGAAACGTACAATCTTGAGTTCAGTTCACGTTTGGCCCCTGACGAGAAAGGAAGATGCTTTCAAACTGTGCACTGATGAATGGTTAGGGGGGTGCTTGCGTCAGCCATTGACCTCTCTGCCTGTTCTGCCTCCTTTGTATAGCTAATGGAGGCGCTCTTTTACTTAAACAGGGGTAGTTTTAACAGGATCTTATTGTGTTTGGAAATTGTAATGTCTGTAAACCTAACTGGTAAGATGAGGGAACATGGTGTTCAGTTCATCAGTGACTGTCTATAATTCTACTTCAGTAAAACTTACAGGAGTAGAAGCTTTATCAAGTTTTATAAAAAGTAGAATCCTCCTGCAGGGAAGGATCACTATGCCAAACTTGGAGTTTGTTCAATAAAAGGACATGTAAGGATTATAGCCCTTTAAATTTGAACACAACCTTAGGTACGCAAGCACACCACTGACAAACAGCCCTTGTTCACGATAGCCTCTAATACTTGCTCACCATCATAACAGCATCTCAGATATTTGATTTCTCATGTTCCCTTAACCTCAGTGCACTCCCAATTTATTTATTAGATTACTCCATTCTGAGTGCTTCAATCGCTATACCAAAGAAAAGCATAATCTTGTTCACTAATCTAAGTGAAATTGAATCAATTTTCCTTTCCTCACCACCATATGTGGATGTTTCTCACAGGACCCCTTCCCCCCAGCTTTTATTAAATCTTCAAAAAGAATCAGGTTGAAGCTACTACATAGACCTGCAGATCTGAAATGAAAAGCATTAATGTTTTATAATGCTCCTCTCCTTGCCTTCCAGAAAGGAACAAAACACTCGCATCTTGTCACGAAAAGAAATGTTGTATCGGGGCTTTTTATCAGTTTGTGTGGGTAAAGCCATGACACTTAAGACCACCTCCCTTTCAACAAAATGCCGTGAAATCATTCATGAATAATGCATGAATTCAAGCCAATAAAATCTTTATGCCATGCCAGTCTCCTATTTGCAGGAAATAAAATTAGAGCACAATGTGCAGTAAACTATAACCAGAGGAGTCCCGCTGTCATGCAGACATAATCACAGGCATAATGTGGGAGAGAACTGAGCACAGTATGTGTGTGTGCAGTTCCAGAAGGTTCACAAGAACCTCTGCAGCAGAAGGGTCTGACAGCACAGTGCATTCCTGGTGGCGAGGAACAGGCAGAGCTACTGCAGGCAGCATATGGAAAAAAGCAGAAACTGCCCATCTGGAAGCAGGGAGCAGCACAGGTCAGGGGATGCGGTGATAATGTAATTATAATCACTGCTTTCTCTCTCTTTTAGGGAGTTTATACTGAAGTCTAAAATGAACTGTGAAACACTTACGGTGCAATACAGCTACAAAACAATGAATGATACAGGTTTTGCATTTTGCTTTTTAAATAAACGGAGTGCACAAGATCAAATTTTATGCCAGCTGCACTTCAATTACATTTACTTTGTCTAGTAGTAGCGACAAGCCAGACACCTTTCTCTAAATGTATTTGTTTTACAAGTTTATTTGTAGTCTATAACTATTGTTCAAATTCATAATCAAAAGAAAAGTAAACATTACCGTTCTTGTAGAGTAAAAAGTCAGGTCATCACATGCCAAGTTCAGCTTCCCCTGATTTTGCATCAAGACTGTGAAGACCTGGTCTACTGCCCTAGTCCTGGTCTTTATGTGCATTAGCGGCAAATTTCCCCTTTGTGTGGAGCTTCCAAATTAGGTCAGTAAAGTCATCCAGTGGCAACACATGACCAAGCACATCCTAGCAGGTAACTGATACAGTGCTCTTCAGTTCTTAGCTATCTATCCCCATAGACTTTAGGTAGGTAATTTGAACCAACTAGTAAATTCATTGAGATTTTCTACAGAAAATTCTGTGGCCATGAGAGACAGTATTACCTCGACAAGTTTTGCAGTGCAAGGAAATGGTTATTTATCTTGCTCATGATCTTTATTTCATTATTATTTTGTGGAAATTACTAAAATGTCCTTTCTACAAAGGAGGTGTGACTGGCTGCTGCTATTGCAGGCCATACTACAAATGTCTTCCACTCCCCTATAGACAGAAGCAAAAACAAACACAAAAACACACCTGTTTGTTCCATAACTACATTTGTAGATAGTTTAGCAACAATCTCATCTAACAGCAAGCAGGGAGAAAAATTGAATTACTTAATCAAGCCATGCTAGAGATGGAATCAAGAGGTTAAACCTTTGTCATCCAGTGCTTCCCACTGGCAGGCAGGTGTTAGCCATCTCCAGGAAAGCAGGGCTCCACTACACATAACAGTTACTTGGGAAGACAAATGCCATCACTCCCAATGCCCGCCTCCCCTTCCTTCTTCCCCCAGCTTTGTATGCTGAGCACAACATCACATGGTATACAATATCCCTTCGGTGAGCTGGGGTCAGCTGTCCCAGCTGTGTCTCCTCCCAACTTTTTTGTGCATTCCCATCCCTCTGACAGGACAGTGTGAGGAGCAGAAGAGGCCTTGACTGCTTAGCAACAACCAAAAACATCAGTGTTTTACCAACACTATTTTCATCCCAAATCCAAAACACAGCACCATATCAGCTGCTAGTAAGAAAGCCAACTCCATCCCAGATGAAACCATGAAAACCTTACACTGTCATTCTCTTTTTAGAGGAGCTTTGGGGGAGAAACCAAACCAATTTTACTATGTTACTTACTCTATTACTCCATTTGCTCTATTACTTACTCTAGGGTTCGTCTGAGTAGAGCAATGGCAGTGAGAACAGGATTGATAGATGTAGTTTACTTCTCAGACTTCAGAGGAAATCAAACTACTTGAATGCAAAAGTATCCTCATAAAAGCTGGAAGTGCATACAGACAGAGCCTGCTACAATAAGCTGTGGATTTTAAAGCCTGGGGAAAAAAAGGTCTAAATACAGGCTTTTACATTTCACATAGTAATTTCTTCACCAAACCCAAGACAAGGTGTTCAATATACCATATCTGTAAGTGAAGACTCAGCGTAAGACACTTAGTAACATTATGGATTTTCCTTTGTTATAAATGTTATATACCAATATATTTATGATTTGCTCACACATTAAGGTAAGACCATCACGAAGCATTTAGAGATTGTACCATGGTTCTATTACACGCTTTGTAAAAGCAGGCATTTACCATACAATCACATCCTAATCTGCCATCTTCTGCTGCAAGGCAAGAGGTTTAGGTACCTAGAACTACAACAGTTACAAATGCAGAAGGAATGATCTACCTTAGTTCTACCGCTGCTGCGAGAGCCATTACGTGAGAACTGCTTTCTGACTTGCTTTCTGTTTCAGCACTGCAGCAATCAGCTTTGTCAATGGCACACCGCTCTGGGGCTTCCCGCCTGCCTAACAACGGATCAAATGAAACGCTGGTAAGGAACAACTGAAATCTGCTTTAGTATAATTGTCTAAAATTGTAGCATGGATCAAATTTTTGTTTTTAAACTGATGGATACAGTCTTTCAGTGGAGAATAAAGCACTTCAGAAGAATTAATTAGAAGTCTAGCAGTTAAGTAAGTAGCAGCTATTTACCTGCATCTGAAATTAAGCCATACCACAGCAAAGTTCTGACTTGCCCAAATAACCATTCTGAATGAGTAACAAAGCAAGAATAGAGCTCAGCTCTGCTTTCTTGGTTCTGTCATTTAACCAATTCCTCCCATGAAAGCTCCTGCTACAAAAAGTAGCAGCTACAGTGCAAGTGAGCTTGCAAGAAGCAAAGTTGTGTTTCCTTACAAGAGCTCACAAGCGATCAACGCAGGGGCCCGAAATAAAGGGATGTTGGTGGCTGACCAGCTCAGTAGTTTAGTTTATATGGTCTGGAACTGCAGCACTTCACCTAGGGTGCTGTATGAGACCTTCCAGCTGTGTGGGCTTTGTCTGAGCCAGGCTGCTTTGGACAACACTAACAAACTGCCCACTTAGGCACCTTCACCTAGCATAACTTAACATCGCGATCCTGCCTGCCCTCAGTGATACACTTCGGTGTATCCACAAAGGACGAACTTAGCATCTTTCTTCCCCCCACTTAAATGCACTTATTCCTGAAAAGCAGAATAAAATATGGTTTCTCATCAGAATAAAATCAACAGAAAGGTGCGCTTCTGTCACTTGGAAATAGTGACAGTTTTATAATTGCATGTTGATGCTAAGAAGGCTTAACTGTAGGAAGTCATTTTATTGTTGAAATAAACGACTTATTTACAAGGATAGTTACTTTACAGTTTTACAAAGCAGACGTAATTCTTCTCAGAACAAAGTATCAAAACAGTGACAGATTTAGCACTGTCTAAATGCAGTTTATTCCAAAAAGAAATCTACAGCAATCATTAGACTAAATCATACCAATCACATAATAAAATGCTGTCCCTTGCAACTACAACGGTATAAAAAGACTTTTTATCAGTCATGACCTAGTGGATCAAGCATCTGCTATACTTCTTTCTTCTTGAGTATTAGTGGACCTACATTATCTCCTGTTAATTCATTGTGCTTGTTGTGGGAGCCATCACAGACAGGGAACTGGAAGAAAACACACATGAGGAATTAGTATAACCCTGTACAGCAATTGCATGGTGATTTTTATACTTCTTCCTATGCAAGAGCACTTTGCTAATGTTGCTAGTTCCTCCTACTATGTCCCATTTCAACATCAAACACCCTGTCTCCTATCAGACAGGGACACGTTACTACGAGGGAAAAAAAAAAAAAAGCACTGCTAACACGTAACTAAGTTTGTGAGGTCCTAAAATAGCTCTTCTTGGACACAAAGTCAGGAACAAAGTCTTTTCCGTGAAAGAACAGCAAGCAAAGCAGCCATAGCAGCCACAAAAAGTTTAAGGTTTATTGTGGAACTAGTAAAAATGCTCTTAATAGATTTAACCATTTGCAACCAGAAAGTACAGTTTTAAGGAAAACTGAAATATTTTGCTGAAGTGATTAGTCTGAAGGGAGAATAGTTGAGAGGGTTTCTTAGGTCCAGGGCATATTTTTTTTGTTAAAACAGGAATGCACTTAGTCCAAAGAGGACAAAGCCAGACTGCAATCAGAGCACTCAAAAGTGAGGGTGGATAAAAGATACTCATGTACATCTAGTTGATTTGGGGGATACAGACTATCCAAACTAGTCATCTACTGGCTGCTCTGGACCAGATGGGATATGCTCTCCCTCACCAACACAGGTCCAGCCTTACTTTCATTCTAATATGAACAACTTTCTAAGCATTGTTTTTGCAAAATAGAATAGCTACCTTCTAATTAGTTGCAGTGTATTTCCAAATATCAAACAAGGCTTGCTCAGTTTTAATCTACTCACAGGTAGTCACTCTGTTTCTAGGAAAACTCTACTGTGTTTCTTACAAGTTTATACAGTTTCTTTCTGCATGTAGATAGATTTACAGTAGAGCAAAATAAGAACTGTGCCATTCTCAAAACAACAGGAACATGTTCCGCCTCCAGAGAAAAGTAACAGGTCAACATACAGCAATTCACCACCAAAGCACAGATAAAAATATGCAAGTTTCAATCTCTAATCCTACAGTAGCACAAATTATCTTACCGTCTTAGAACGCCAACACCTGCAGTAAGCTTTAGTGAGGCACAGATCTTCAATGTTTATTTCATTCACCACTTTTGGATTTTCCTTCTGGATCTTGAGGTTAATCAAGCTATCCTTTTGCTGTTTCTTCTTGGGGAGGAACGGACGAACAGCGAGGTAACCAAGCAAGGCCAGCACGCCCAGGAAAGGCAATAACCGCAGCCATTCTGAAACTAAAGACAGGTGGAATTTAGATTGGTTCTTGGCACCACTTCAGTATGGTGCAGCATCAGCTACTCTCAAACAACTTAGGCTTATGGTAGGGAATGGGGTTGCTCAGTCAGCAAGGGTCTGAGGGCAAACAAGACTGTGTGGGTAAGTCTTAAGGAGAAAGAAGACCCAGATTAAAACCTGGATTTTACTGTAGCCGAAGTAAAAATTTGACTCCTAGAATTTCATCTGAAGTTTAATTTTAATACTCTAGAAGATGACTCAATGGAAGAGAATAAATCCAAAACAAATAAAAGACATACTGAAATAAGGAACCCTAAAATTGCAGGGGTTCTGCTCACGCAAGGTAAGCCAGCACTGCGTACTAGCAAACTGGTCCTAAGTATATTCAGTAACCAGTACCTCAACATTTTGTAGATGAAGAACAATTCAGTAAGTTTTATAATTCAATTTTTAATTGTTTATTTCAATTTTTTAGCTTCTTGACGTTTTCCTCATTTTATTTGTTCCTAGGCTTTTTAGAAAATTTTGGTAGAAATTATACAGATTACTAGATAAGCACTAGCAAAACCTTCATGAATTGTTTGGTTTTATTTTTCAGAGCTCTGTTTGCTGAGGGATCTGCAACCAGTTTCTACAATACACAGAGACAGAAAGAGTCCTGAGATTAGGTAAATCAAGACACAGAAAATTGCTTTTTACCAAGCTGAGGAACTTCTTTCAGGTACAGGTAGGAGATTCAAATATCCTCTCCAGACTTAGCTGCCTTATAAATTTTCTAGACATACTGGGGAGAGAAAGACTTACTGGACTTTTTAAGGAATTCATCAGCCCCTGGCATAAGATCTATATATAGTGAAGGTGGGACCCCCTTTTCCAGCAAAACATGTTGTGACAGTACACTACTGTAATTTAAGTACCATGGTGCAACAGAGTGCATTTTTCTAAATTTCTGGAGAATACATTAAATCTAAACGCTCATACAGAAATGGAAGAGAGTTTAAAAATATTTGAAAGTGAGAAACAAAGAAGTGTAATGAGCTGGAGCACAAATAGTTGCACAGGCGCTTTGTAAGACAAGACACTAATCAGGTCCCTCTTTTAAATGATTTAGGATCAAAACATAGCAAAATTTGGTTCTACAGTTTGTTTTTTGAGATCAAGATGTACAAGAAAGGAAACGCAATAGAGCAGGCTAAGGATGCTAGGTAGGTTGTAGCTCTCAGGAATTATATTATTCTCTAGAGCTTGATTTTATTTGTAATAATAGAGCACATGTTCATGCTAATACTTCTCCAGTTAAAACACTGACTTTTCTTAATAATTTGAATTTTCTGAAAGTACACCGTGTAATGAAAATATTTTGTGGGACTAATTTTATGTTCTTTGAGCTTTCAATAGCCTTTGAAGTGAAAGCCACACTTACTGCATTTCTCTGGGAATGAACCACAACTGTATAAATGCCAAACACACTGCAAGAACTTTCAGTAGTCTTTCCACACCTGCACTCGCAGCAGTCCCTACACACAATAATTGAAAAAATTTGCTAAGAGTCACTCAATATGCTAATCTGTTGCTCTTTTCTCAGTTCCCCCAACAAGCTGTAAACTGTAAATAATAATAATTAACAGAGATACTTAAAGGTTTTCAGTAACACAAAATACTGAGTTTCCTGAACAGCAGTACCTGTTTGTCTTTTCTATCCTTACTGTTCCAGAACACCCCATCAATAGGAATCCAAATGCACTTTCTCACCTTACGTGAAGGGCTGACTTATAACATACTTTAGAAGAGAAGACAAATATTTGGTCACTGAAAAAAATTTCCAAATTGAGTATCTAACCTGACTGTTGGCAAAGAAATGCATGTCCACAAAGCTAGTCAGAACTCCAAGACAGAACAGACATTCCAACAGGTGCACCATAACCAGAAGGACACCTATCAACTCTGTGATGAATACAACTGGGCTAAGATTGACACATAAAAAGGAAATGTCTTGCATCAGAATTAAAACTCATTAAAAGAGATCAGCAACTAAACAGCAAGTGGCATCTCAGTACAGCTAGAAACTCCCTGATAAGACAAAAAAAAAAAAAATTGCAACAGTAGTCATGCCTATGGGAGACTCATGACCAGTTGGGTTCATCCAAATGAAACAGGAACATAGTAGCTGTAATCTCTGAAAGGAAATCTGAAACAAACATGAGTAGGAAGTACAAATATATTATTTATCAATGTTATTATTTATTATTTGTATCATGCTAACTGCTGAGTTTTGTCCTCACTAGCCAATGATTTCTTTGAAAGCCCTCAATTATATGAATGTGTACACTAATCATAAACTAACTTGTTATTGCTAAAAGACTGCCAGAAGCTCATACTTTTAGATTGGAAAATCAACATGACCATGCTTCTAGGGCATGACAGACAAGTTATTGCCACAAAGTAAAAAAGTCACAGATCTTTGGACTGGGTAGGCAGGGACAGTAGAAAAGCTTTACCCAAACTAATGCAATGATATCTTCCTACAACTGTAAGCTGCTCTGTGTCCTTGAAGCTGTTCATACCTTTCTGAAGCAGATGTAAGGCAATTCACAAGACTGTTTATTTTCACAGCTGATAACTCAGAATTCAGCAATTATATTGATTCTGGAGATTCTTTAGCAGTTCTGCTGCACGGGAAGATGCAGTCTTTGGAGCCAGAAATGGACAGTAGAGTATCGAAGAGGTTAGTCTTCAAACTTGACTTGCATTAGACAGAGATCAATCCCAAAGATAAGTCCTGGAAAGTATCAGGAACATTTCTGAAACAGGAATGACCAAGAAGCTGAGGCAAGGGACCATAGGCCCCAGCTACATTTTCGAGAAAAGGTTGTCTTAACTTTTAATCCAACAGTAACAAGTCCAAAAAAATAAGAAACACGTACACTGTGAACAGAAAGGGGCTGGCCAGCCACTGGGATTCACATCAAAGCAAGTGGTCCCTGCTTGTCTTTCACCAACTACTCCTTTGATATCTTTCACTTTGATTTATGTTTTAGCTAACTTCTGTGGAAATGAGCCTATGCAAACCCAAAAGCAGCTTCTTACAGTAACAGCTCAACTGCAAGCCAAAATTTTAACAAGTATTAACTACCAGACAAAATGAAGATAGGAACTGTGATTGTATATTCTCTAAACTAATGAAATTCTTCCTGCAAATTCAAATTACTTATTCAATTACTTGTCTTCAGAACTAATAAGCAGTTCTATCCTAACTGTTTTCTGTTTTTCGCTTGTGTCTCTTAAGGGTGTTCTCACTGCTACACAAACTAAACACAAAGGACTCCACACACCACTTTAATATATCTACTAGTTTATTCAGCAGGTATGAAGGTAGAGACATGACAGTCCTTTTAGTGACATAGCACGCTTCAAATAAATTAAAAGCCGAAACTACGGGAAGGTTAGCAAACCATTCTGCAAATGACAAAATCATTGTTTAAATGAGTTCTGAAGACTCTGTTATCATGGCATCACCCTTCTTTTCCTCAGCACTGTAAAAGATGATCCACAAAACTGTCCTCTTCCGGCCTGGCAGCTTGTTACATTAGAGTCCCTCTTACCATGTAGGCCAAGTGTAAGACAGCCCACACAGGACTGTGTCAAGTTTATGGCAAGAAGACTAGCACCTAGATTCTTACATAAACCTTGAAATTCTGACCACATGCTATCTTAAGGTGAACTTCTACGCCATTTTAATGAGAGGTACCAGAATAAACAGCAACGCAAGCATGAGACAACACTGTTCGTTTCAGCGAACTTGAGAAGGGAAGAGTAAAGGAGCTATGACAAGAAACTGAAAGAGGCTTCTGAGCAGCAGCAGCATGGCAATTTAGATATCCACTTTCAAACCCAAGGTCAAACATTCTTTCCTTCTTCCCTCACTGCTTTTACCTTTAGGAGTTCTGCACTGGATGTTAACAGTCTTCCTCTCTCCAAGCAAGCGGTCTGCCATTGGGATTTGGTGAGGTCATGACAGACAACAGGTGTCTCAAGACTTTAAATCAGCACACTATACAATATCCTATACAAAAGGATCCTCCCTATACTTTGGTCTGTTGTTTCTACAGCTGATGCACCACAGGAACTGAAGTTGCATCCGCCTCAAGCTAATGAAGGCTTACAAAAGCAGTAAAAGAGCTAGCAAGCAAAGGACTGCACTGTTCCAGACTTAGGTTTTGGTCTCCCTTTGTGGACATAGTCTATGCTAATGAATGTTTATAGTGCTGGTCCCTAAGCAGATGGTACCGAAGGAGAAATACTACTGTACTTTAAGTGTTTAAAGATAAATATTTTTTCTCACCTCCCAAAAAGAAGCAAAGAAAAATGCTTGAGGTGTTTGATATGTCATTTGCCAAAGAATATGCTCCTCTGTAATTTGTAGTAAACACAAAAGAGAATGTGAATCTCATCTTCTCTACTGTCTAATAGTCTTTCAGTAAAGGGAATTCAATAGATATGATCCTGTAAGTTGCTGCTGCAAAATAACTCCCAGAATTGGGAATCCCCTGCTCTTAGAGGCTTATGATTTTAGGACACATCAGACTAAGACCACAACAACAATATAGAAGAGGCAGCACTTGCTGAAGCAATCCAGTTTTCTCAGACAAAACTTTAGACTGACAGCAGCTCTGAGTTCAGATAAGGACAAGACTCTTCAATGAGCAATGAGGTTTCAATGACTTTCAATACCTTTTAAGCACTAAGAGAGGATCATTTTTTAATTTAGGTGCCTAGGATGTGGCGTCCTATGAATTCCTTCTGAAAAGCCTCACCACGTTGTATTTACCTTATGCCATAACTTGAAGTACCTTGAACAGTTTTTCTAATTTTTCCTCCATTTTCATTCTTATCCACCTTAAGAGGAAGATATGACAGCAGATATTAGTCTAGCCTAGCTGACTGTTGAAAAAAAGGGAAAAAGTGTCAAAACGTTGTCTCTATAGGTACGCATTTTTAACTATACCTCTGTTGCCCCTTTTTAGAGTACTTAGCACAAGACCAGTCAAAGAAATCACGAAGACCTAGAGGCAGTGCAATTTTTCAGGTACACTCATTAAATCCTACCGGGTCTCAAAGCAATTTCTGACTCTCCTCCTTCTTTTACCTTTGTTTAATATTTTTGGGACTGACATTTCACTGGTTGGTCTCTACTTAAGGTTTCAGTTGTTTGCTTCTTGCCCTCCCTCCAAATTCAAGCAAGTACCAGTCAATGGGGTAAATAACATGACAGCAAACCAGTTCTCCCCTATTGGTCACTCTAATAAAAAAAAAAAGTTCTGACCAGAAGTTTTCAGAATAAATTATATTACTACTACATAGTGTGAATAAATACAAAAACTGCACAAATAATCCTGTTACAGAAATGTACACTTGGACAAGTGAAGCAAGAAAAGATTAAACTCAAGCATTACTAAGCTTAAGAAATTTGAAGTGCAACTTGTGGTTAAAAGGGCAATGACTTAAATAGGAAACTGCCAAATGCTAGGAATATGAGAAGCTGCACTATTCTGTAACTTATTGTATCCCCTTCCTCCTGACTTTGTAGCAGCTGAATTTCTCTATTCAATAAATACCGAATCATAGAGTAGAAGTTGGCAGGGACGTCATGTAGTCCAACCCCCCTGCAGTGAGCAGGGAAATATAATTAACAGCATTTTCAGATGACAGAGTAGTTGCACGGAAAGAGGAACAGATCATTTAAAATGGGCTTCCTTATCATGGAAAAGATAGTGGGACTTTAAGTTTACAAACAGCATAAACCCTAGGAAAAAAGTACTCAAACCTGGTTTTAAATAAATTGTGCCTGTTCTAAATTAAATAATTTTCTAGCACTATTTAAGTCATACAGCTTAGCGCTGCAAAATAAGCATATAAGGTTGATTCTGCACTTTGAAGACAACTTCTATTTCCAGAGTTTCCGTTAGAGCATTCCTCTTATTATTGCCAAACTAATCTTGTCATTTAACACTACTTGAGGTTCTGCCTGTATCATCACAGCTGAGCCTACGCTCAGATAGTTCCCCTTTGCAAAGCACTGAAATGCATTGAATATTTAAAGAATTTGCAAGTATTTAGTTGTCTTTCTTGTTTGCTCTGTGATAGTGCTATGATTAATGAATAGGTATTTTCACATCCCCACCCAGAAAATTAAAAAAAAAATATTAAATTAAAAAAAAAAACAACTGATTTTGTGTATATAGTAGGCTCCAGAAACAGATTTTTTTTTTTTTTTTATGGGTACAGACGCTCTCTTTAAGCTTTTAAGCAAATGAAGACGCAGTGTTTTAGGCCTTCAGCTAAAATCCCTTTTCCTTATGTGCACGGCCTCCGACTTGCCGGTACTTGCACAGAGAGGAATTTTAAGTACACTGCAAACGAGCTGGGGCCGAGGAGCCCAGTACGTTTTACTCTATCGTCACATTTTACTCTGACTGTTATCACAGGGCATCTTAAGCGTCCTGTCGGATAATTTTCCTGCT